CTTGCCAGACAACTATATTCCATTAAGCGCCAGCGCTCTCCCCTTGACGAGTAAAATCGTCTGGCATTAGACAGAGTAAAATACTAAAGTAGGGTGCATCGCCACTCAATGGGTTAACTAGACATATGGGCAGATAGGCCAGTTAACTAGACACATGGGCAGATAGGCCAGTTAACCCATTAAGTGCCCGCACTCTCCCCTTGACGAGTAAAATCATCTGGCATTAGACAGAGTAAAACATTAAAGTAGGGTGCATCAGGGTGCATCGCCACTCAATAGGTTAACTAGACACATGGGCAGATAGGCCAGTTAACTAGACACATGGGCAGATAGGCTAGTTAACGCATTAAGCTCCAGCGCTCTCCCCTTGACGAATAAAATCGTCTGGCGTTAAACAGAATAAAATACTAAAGTAGGGTGCATCGATTGCCACTCAATGGGATATAGTTGCATTTTTTTGTAGCTATTCCTGGTTATGTCTAATAAATGTATATAAATTTCCACTTGATAATTGCCATCTACAAAACCCTTTAACTATATTATTCAATCAAGTGAGATGCTACTTAGAGTCTTGATACTATATTGTGGTATAGCACTATAATACGGTACTGTACTGTACTGTCTTGAGCAGTGAGGCATATTCATTCAATTATATCCAATATAAGACTGTTATAAGACTTTTGATGTGTTGCACTAATGCTGTGCTATTTACTAACACTACAGTACATTGGCTGCCAATGGCGGGGTTGTGTTAAACACTTCATGGCCCATGGCGTCCTACTTTGGTATTTTACTTTGTCTAATTCCAGACAATTTTACTTTTCAAGGGAGGGTATTGCACACTAATGTGGGCTAACCAGCTCAAACAATTACCTCAAACTCTATTGTGCTGCACTGAATTTTTATGTGTTTTAAACTCGGCTGTACTTCACTGTGCTACAGTAATCTTAACTATGCGAAATTGTGCTGTACTGTCCTTTGGTACACTGTACTTTCAGGCATATTGTACTGTAATGTACTGCGTGATGCAAAATTGTACTATATACTTTGTTGTACTGTAATGAAATATAATGAATTTTGTGTTGTCATAGCTGTCATGTCTTGTTTTAACCAATAATAGCGGATTGTATTGTACTGTATGACAAGTACAATGTGTACAATTTGTACTTGCTATGTTTAAATTTAATATGATACAACACATCACCACAGAATAATAAAAATAAGTTGCAGTAATAAAACACTGCGTCATTGAGCTGCTGTGAGCAAAAATATCACTCCTCTCATCTGAATATTTATATTAAACACGAAGTAAAATATGTTCACTTACCTGAAACATGAATAATACAGTTCTCGCCTCCCTTCCGTATAATTTTCACGTTTTTTTTCTTGAGTGCAGTAGAAAGGAAAGCAATCTGAGCGAGTTAAAACTATTAAAAAAGCCGAAAACACGACGCCATTTTGTTTGCCTTTTATAACAAATAACTCCAATAAATGGAGTTATATATGAATAACTCCACCATCAAGAGTTAATTTTGCATACTAATTAGTTCGCCCGTATCCCCTTACTCCTCAATGGGAGTTACTTTAACTCCTGAAATGGGGTTAACGTAGCCCTAAAATTTTAACTCCACTAAAAAGGAGTAATAGAGGAGTTATTTTAACTCCCTGAAAATAACAGTGTAGCTCTATCAGTGCTAAACTGCTTTTATCTAAGATCAAAACAATTTTCTGCCACTGCCTTCAACCTTATTACAGCAAAGATCTCTGCACAAATAGCCGAGCTTCTAAATTCTTACTTCTTCTCAGTATTTACAACATCCAGTACTGACATGGAAGACAGTGATGGTGAGGGATCTGAAACATAGTAGGGACTGGGTCATGAATGAACAGTTGATGTAGCTGAAATGGAAAATTACCTCAGAAATTTGGAGAACACCAAAGCGAGTGGCCCTGACAGTATGCCAGCACGTCTACTATAAAGATGTGTTCGGCATATTGTGTCTAGTCTCTGTGAATTATTTAATGTTTCCTTGCGTCTTGGACGACTTCCCGCAGAGCGGAATCACCGAACGTGACACCAGTTCATAAGAAACATCTGAAAAAACCAGAGGAGCACTACCGACCGATATCCATTTTGCCAATCATTGCAAAACTCTCTGAACGTTGCGTATGTAGGCGACTATATGAACACGTAATCAACGCCTGGAACAATACGGTTTCTTACGCAATCGATCATGCATTACACAACTGCAGCATGTTGTATATAAATAAGAATGGAGAGAACATTGACAGTAATATTCAAACAGACATTGTCTACTTGGATTTTGGCAAACGTTTTTGACTCAGTCAATCATGGTTCAATCTTTGGAAAACTCCGGCAATTTGGTGTACATTCAAACGTGCTAAATTGGTTTACTAACTACTTAATTGGTCGGACCCAAAAAGTTGTCGTTGATGGTGTAACATTTGCTGTACCACAAGGTAGCATACCTGGTCCAATGTTGTTTGTATTATTCATTAATGATTTACCCGACATCATTCCAGAAAAATCAGCAACTGCTTTGTACGCTTAAGACAAAAAAGCATTCAGGAAAATTACTAGCGAAGATGATGCTTGCCAATTACAACAAAGCTTGACAATCCTAGCCACCTGGAGCAATACCAAAATATATATGAGGTTCAACGAGTTAAAATGAAAAGTATTGACTGTGTCGCGGAAGGAACAGCCTGTGAATTATCACGTATATCAACTGGGCTCAACCACCCTTCCTCATGTTGAGAATGAGAAAGATCTTGGAGTTGCAATGACTGGGAATCGTTTTTGGGTTTATCTTGTCTATGAGATCACCAACATTCCAGCAGCTGGTCGGTTTATGGAAGAGGTCATGCCCTTTGTTGACTGACGTTAGTGTTCATCGTACTTTGTGCCTTTTCTTTGTGAAATTCAATCTATCTTATGCGTTAAGCCTGTTAAGATTGGTCCCCATACACTCGCTCACTGAAGAAAAAGATAGAGCGAGTGCAGATGCGAGCCACTAGATCTACATTGAAAGCTGGGAAGGGTAATTCCAGCTTTGTAAGTTCAGATCACAGAGACGATCATTGTCCTTTGTGTTACGATAGAGATAAAAGATCTAATTCTCTTCTACAAGGTTCTTTATTTCTAAATTTACTCTGTATTTCTGAAAACAATGTTCTCAATATTGTAACCCACAACCACTCTCGTCTATATCGTAATCCCAACCTGTTGCTCAACACTCCATTGTGTAAAAACACAAGATTCTAGAACTCATATTACAACCGGATCGTGAAATTATGGAACATTGTTTGCAAAGTAGTTCTACCAAGTAATTCTCTGGTGTCAAAACATTTAAATGCTAACTCTTTAATCATTATTCTATGTAAGTATTGATTGTATCCGATGTAATCTTGTTATTACTTGGTCTATGTCAAGTGTCTATCCTTACAATAGGAGTTTATTGTCTCGTTGTATAAACTTGTTATTAGTATTCATTTAGTAAACTATATGTACATCTATATTTTGTTGAAGAGGTGCCTCGTGTGAATAGCGCAAATTATTTACGTTCGTTCGTTCGCACCTCTTCCATCAGGGTAATATCTGTTCTGTGCATGCATAGTACGTCTTTTGGTAAATAATTATGTTCATATTTAGCCTATAAAGTATTTACAACTAGATAGTGGTTCAGTATTACAGCTGTAGGAATTGATAACTAAACTAACTTTATGGTTCTGATACTGCATGGCTCTAACAGTTCTAAATTGAATTTGGAGGTTCATTGTGTTTGGTTGAGTCAGGAACTCTGAAAGAACTTTCACCTACATCAGAGGTACAGGAATCTACAAATAAAAGGCACTTGCCATTGTGGCACTAACACACTCTATTTCACGTAGATAGCGGTAAGAGATAAAGTTCGTAAATTAAACATTAATTTTCGTGATTCGTGAGAACTGTAGATGTTAACTGGATTCTACAAGGTTGGATCTTTTTGTGGTTTATTACAATAGTATCAAGATAGCGAAATATCTAAATTAAGCAAAATACAATTATTGAAAGAAAAAAACACAACATTCGTGATAGAGACTATCTTTTTATCTCCAAATTACGGAAAATTATCAATTAGTTTAATAATGCTCTTAGCTTTTAGCAATATATTAAAGTGTATAATTGCTTATAGCAGACAAGCTGTCTGTATATTTACAACATCTCTACTTGGGAGACCGAATTTTAAAATTTTAAAAAGAACCTCTATATTCTAAATGATCGCCATCGGCATGTTATCTAAATTATGCGACGGGCAGGGTTGCAAAATAATAATGTGAATTATGGCTTTTAATTTTCAAATTTGGAAAATATATAAATAATCTCATTCAAAACGGGCTTTTTACTGGACGAAAAAATATTCAACGGTATGGTAATGATATACATGCCAAATTAAAAGTTAAAAATCCATTCTTCTTGTAATCATATACACAAATACTTTAACACCAAGATTTCACACATCTAGCTCCACCAGCAGATCGTCTTTGTCTTAGGTTGAGATTTAGTCGGTTTTAGCTTCGAGAATGTAACGTGTCCCCCACCCCCAATTTTTCTACGGATTTAGACTTTTTGAGAGAATGGTTTTTTGTGGCGTCTGGAGGGGGGGGGAGGGGGCGGTCGCCACATAAATCAAGAATTATTCGACAGTGTCTTCTCAAACAAATAGCTCATTTTCCTATATGTAGGGAATTCTGATTACAACTCAGCAAAGGCTATTGTGACTGTAAAACACTGAGAAAGTCAGTAACTCATAATTCATGCAACAAATGGTCAACATAGTAGATTGCTGTGTAATTAACATACCGCCGCCGCATGCATCTTTCAATTTATTTCTATTCTTAGTCTTTTTATCCATGATAAATACAAAACAAAATTGTATTACCCAGCTGCAAGATATTACAAGATACATAGCGGCGAACAAGAGCTTGCTGAATTCAACATGAAATTATATTTATATTTTCTGGTGCTGTTCGTTGGTTTTACTACTGGATTTATTCCAAAGATACTTTACAATCTTGCATCTTGGTCTTCTGTTAATCACAGAATTATCACGCGAGCAGGGTTATGGTGTAGCGTTCTTGAATTTCTTAAGACAAATCCAAAGTACGTGAGTCCAAAGAGAGCTAATGAACTCGCGTCTGTTGACAGAGAAATATTGCTTGAAGGCCAGGTATCTGGCCGGCTCTTTCGTTTGGTAAAGTCTTCAAACTTCAAGCGTGCTGTTAAAGAAATTGAGTACGCAAATGCTGATGTAGACTCTATATTTAAGGAAAAGACAAAAGCTGCCGCTCATTTCGACGCTGAACAATTTCGTGAAAGTTCATCACGTCTTCTTCGCTTAAAGAAACAAGTTATTTCTTTGATTAAAGACGCTGATGTTAACGAAGCAGACTGCACGAAAGCCAGAAAGGAGTCTGGTAGATTGCTTCATACCCTGCAAGACTTTTACAGTCATTCAAATTGGATTGAATTAGGAAACAATCAGCCATTATCGATATTGGGAGATAAAATTATAGGAGTAAAAGATATAGCGGGACCTAAAGAAAAAACGTGCAAGCGCTGTACGCCCTGGACCCTATGGTCACGTGTTGACGATTGTCAGGATAATCTGTTAACGAGGAAACTAACAAGTGGTTACCATGGAGGTCAAGATGTGAAAAAACCTGCAGGTATTGGCAAATGTAGTCATGGTGGTGTATTGGACAAGTCAAGGAAGTCAGATTCTACAGGAGGCATTAATAAGGATTCTTCTTCTCGTTATTTATCGCCACATTATGGGTGAGTTTAGGGCCCGTTTACCTTTGCGAGTATTCTTTTCTGACATGTGATCTTTTCCTATCTGTATCATAACAGATATATTTTGTAGCGCTCGGTTTTGTAATAGTCTACCACCAGTGCCGCAGCCAAGTTTTCAATTCAAAGAGATCGGGAAAAAGCCCAGGAGTATAGCCGATAACTTTTACTCTGCTGTTAATTCGATTATACGTTTTTTCATGCACCGCAACTTGTTACAAACTTCCAAGCTGTCTATTTACTAGTACATTGCTTCTGAATGGGTTCCGGTGTTTGTCTCTCTGGGAAAATTGCCAAAATTTGAAAATCATGCATGTTATTAGAGAGCTATGATGATGTTAAATTACTAGTTTCATGCACAACCACTCAATACTAAAGCTACCGAAAACACTGATGAAAACATAGCGAGATAAAAAATTTTAATGCCCATATCTAAAAATGCAGTTTTAGTGTCAATTATTCCAAGCGGGCCCCTACAATTTTGCCAAGATCTGGCTACGTGCGCTGCACCTTCGCAGGCACTCTTCGTTGGGAGGAAATTCAGTATAATATATTTTATTATATGGACAATGGTGTTTTACTGGAAAGTAAAACACTCATAGAACTCATATGCCCCTATATTCCGGGACCATGCAGATATCGGCGTATTTTCCGTATTTCACGCTTGCTAGTGACATACGAAGAAAGTTTCCAGCCATTTTCGTTGTTGTTTTTTTGAAAATACAAATGGTCTTTGATTCGTATATAAAACGGAACTGACGTTGGAATTAAACAATACACTTAAAAGGCATCTTTAATTTAGAGAAGCAAAATATATTCTAGTTTTATGTTTGCACTATAATTTGAAAAATATTGCTTTTATACTGGTCTTTCGCAGCTTATTAATATGTCGTCTTTGCGTGTATTTTGTACTCTGATTCTCTGAAGAAGTCCATATGATAAAAAGAACATTAGGTTATAAACAATTGTTAGAATATATATATGTTATTTACCGGCTGGGAGATCCGTACTGAAAAATATTTTCCGAGGTCTCGAGACCGAATGTTGTGGGACGCTTCTGAGACCGGGGGGGAAATATTATTCATATAGGGACCGACATCACCGGTAAATAACGTATTTATTTTTTGCTCGATTCTAAATGAATTGTCTAAACTCCAGTGTTGCGAACTGGATTTGAGACCAGTTCTGTTTGTTTAATCGTCAGTGCTTTAATAATATTCCAAGCATGGCTGACATCTTGCTAAAACGACACGATAAAAAGCCTTTATTTTTTATGCAATAGATACTTTTCAACTCAACAAGACAATAAAAAGGCAAAGCGATTAAAACTATTTTATTTTCCTAATCACTTTAGCCTAATAACATGTTTCAAAACTGTTCTTTCGACACGTAGCAACAACTTGTGCTGGCCGAAAATATTGTCTTCATGACAACATTTACAAAAAAATATATGACAGAAATAAGTGCATGTAGAAATAATATTTAAACTGCCGTTTTCAAGTATTTTTTTTAAATTTTATGTTTGAAGACAGGTCCTTCGCTCCAGTATTTATATTTTAACGTATATATTTTCGAAGTGTAGCTGGATATATGCTTATTTTTCACCCTGCTCGGTTTCCTTTGTTCTTATATCGGGGAATATATTCAATATTCCCCTCTAATCAATTTCCGTTTAATAATCCCCTCTAATATTCACCTGCAATGTCTTTGCAGCACAAAAAAATGAGAAAAAACAACATAACGAAGAAAACATGGCATTAAGAATTATTTCTGTTCTGACTAATTAACGCGAGCTTGCAATGTGAAAAATAAGTACGTTATTTTTAGGCACCTTGGGGATATGTGTTTATTCACCTCGGCGCTGCGCGCCTCGGTAAATAAAACGCATATCCACTCGTTGCCTCAAAATAACCTATACTGAGCATTTAAAACTAAACATTCAGCACTGATATTTCGATATCTATATGCCAAAGAAATACGTATTTTTTTCGGTCTTGACACAAAATATATTGAATCAGTTCAGCTAATTTTTCTATCTTTAGCATCGATAGGGAAGATTTTTCACCTCTTTGGATAAGTTTTTCAGTTTGAAAATTGTCCTCACTCCTCGGTTTGTTCTAGCGCAAAACGCGAGAGGTCCGTAACGTGTGCGAGAGGTCCTTATCGTGTGATACGGACTTTTCGTTAACCTGACAGAACGCCCCATTTACGTTACGGAATTGGGATTACGGACCGGAAAAAATAAATAGATTTATGTTCTCGTATCAAAAAAATATCTCACTAGTTTCCTACGCACACTGGTGAGAAATTGTTTTGCCACTCGAACATAAAATTCATATCTCCTCGCAACCGTCCAATATCCTCTTTATCCACGAGCCGGCGGCGCGAAGGGCCGTGCGAGGGTACTAATTCCCCCCGTCTATTTACACCTGGGGAAACGAAAGCATTAGCCAAGTCTAAAGTTCATCAAATATCGCGGCGTTGGTCACTGTGCGTGGGTGGTCATCCTCGCTGATCTCAAAAATATGGCGGACTGTCATGGATAGCGAACACTGATTGGTCAAATTTAAAATTTGTTGTTGTATGACAAAT